ATATGCACACGTGTATACATATATAATAAGTATAAAGCAGACAGTATTGGTAAATAGTTATGAGTAAATTTAATGGTATTTTATGAAACTTCAATAGTGCTTATTAATATCAAAAAATATTTCAATAAAATAGTGTTATATAATGGTTGCCTTCCTTATAAAATGTATAATGATGATTTTTCATCCCAGTTATACTAAAATATTTCATGGTGATTTTTCTTCCTTATTATTGTAGGGACATATTAAATTGGCTAAATTTGGACTTTATCACATGACAGCTCATGGTGATGATGTCGATTTCCCTATAGGGTAAGCATATATTCTGTTTTGAGTTCTGTATTAAACTTCATAATCTTTGATAACATGTGTATTTTGTTAGTAATAACTTTGATCATGCTTTTTGACACGAAAATAGGTTTTTTATTAATACATCTAAATTTTCCATATACTTTTTTAGAGTGGACAGTTTTTCTCTAGCATCCTAAAGATCCCTGGTGTTGATCATTCATTGAATTGACAAAGAGGCTAACAGATTATTTACCTTCTTTACCTTGTAATACTTCCTCATTAGTTGTATTTCATTCAGAATTAAATAAGTTTAAGGCAAGAAGGCTGACCGGATTCTCAATTAATGATAATGTGTGTGCATCACAAGACTGAAAAATATTACTCTTACGTTATTTTCAGCTTAATGTTTTATGTTTCTCTTTTCTCTAAGCTCTGATTGTATATTAAGAGTCAGGTTGAGTCATTGTGGATATTAGAGGTAACGGGATAAATGCCGTACTTGGAAATCTATGTTTAAGTTCAAAGAGGTTTATTTAATCACTCCTGATATGGAATTCCACATGTATGTTGCCCTGCAAGAAAGAAATGGAAGTTTATTTCTTGCCATACTCAAGTAGATATTTTGATATAGATTTTTGCAGTATAGTTATTATGCAATTGTTTTTAAACATTTTCATAATATAATTCTTTTTTGATTATCTAAATTGACATTTAGATACCATCTTATATACAAAAATAGTACAAAGAATTTCTGTATGTTCCTCATCAGATTCTCCAGATGTTAGTATTTCTCTACATTTGCTTTCTCTTTTTTCTCTGACGTGTATGTGTAGATTTGTATAATAATTATTTTT